TGTAATAATAATAATGATGATGATGATGATGTATGGGGACAAATTCCACCCCTCTGTCCAACTAAATTATGCTTCAGAACATATCCACTAAAATAACTGAACTTGAGTTAGCCATGTCGTGCTCAGGGTAGACCAGCTGAGGAGCTGGTTGCTAGCATAAATAGTCTCCATGTGAAGTTTCACTATACTGTGCAGAGGTGGGGCAGCATGGCAGTGAGGTTGGGGTGGTGTCAAACGGGCTGTTCCTCAACAAGCCCACCCTACCTTGCCCCTGCACTGTCCTGGTTTCAGCAATAACAGTGCTGGGAGATCTCATCTATGGCCCTGCCCGTCCCTCCCACTAAGACGGAGGAGGAGGAGGAGAAGGATGAGTAGGAGGAGGAGGAGGAGGAGGAAGAGGAGGAGGAGAAGAAGAAGAAGATTGTACCCCAACCATCTGACTAGGTTCCCCCAGCAACTCTGAGTGGTTTCCAGCAGATATAAGAACACAAGAAAAACATCAAACATTAAAAACAGGGCTGCCTTCAGATGTCTTCTAAAAGTTTATAGTTACTTATCTCCTTAACTTGTGATGGGAGGGCATTCCACAGGAAGGGTGCCACTACCGAGAAGACCTGGTTCCCTGTAACTTCACTTCTTGCAGTGAGGGAAATGCCAGAAGACCCTGGGAGCTGGACCACAGTATCCAGGCTGGTCAATGTGGGTGGAGACGCTCCTTCAGGTATACAGGGCTGAGTGAACTTAAGGTTGTCATGTCCATTGATTTCAGTTGGTCTGCTGTGAGTACATAACCCATTTGCAGAGCACAATGTGTGCCTTCCCATATAACCAACTAGGAGACACATTAAATAAGCAGTGGAAGTGGTTAGGTGGGGCATTTCACATACACAGTCTGTTAGAGTCCAGTTTACGTTGTTCTACCAACATCACAGAGCCTAGGACTTGCTGATCAGAACGTTGGCGGTTCGAATCCCCACGACGGGGTGAGCTCCCATTGCTCGGTCCCTGCTCCTGCCAACCTAGCAGTTCGAAAGTACGTCAAAGTGCAAATAGATAAATAGGAACCACTCTGGCGGGAAGGTAAACACGTCTCCGTGCGCTGCCCTGGTTTGCCAGAAGCGGCTTAGACATGCTGGCCACATGACCCGGAAGCTGTACGCCAGCTCCCTCGGCCAATAAAGCGAGATGAGCTATGCAACCCCAGAGTCAGTCACGACTGGACCTAATGGTCAGGGGTCGCTTTACCTTTACTTTGCCAACATCAAGGGATGAAAAATACACTCCAGGAATATCACTGATAGGTCATCCAAAGTGTTTTGGACTACCAGTGGGAGTTTTCCACTGGAACAACAACACCAACACCCAGAAAATTCAGAATCCAGGGTTATTTTATATTGGCATAGCTCAGTTGGTACAGCATGAGACTCTTAATCTCAAGGTTGTGGGTTCGAGCCCCACATTGGGCGAAAGATTCCTGCATCGCAGGGCAAGGAATAGATGACCCTCTCAGTTCCTTCCAACTCTGTGATTCTGTGACATTCAGGGGCATAGGAAAGGGGGGCAGTCCTCCCCAGGTGCCATCATGGAGGGAGGTGACAAATTATCAAGGAACAATTACTGCCCTACTAGGGTGGTTCATAAAAAACTTTTTTTTTAAATGCCTGCTCCAAAGGATTTCTCTTACTACACTAGGGATTATATAGCTATATATGAAATTTCATGCATATCAGTTAATATCTTGACCGTCCTCCACAAAAAAAGCTGTTTACTTGGCTGTTTTGCTATATCGTGAAGGCTGAAATTTCAATTCAGTGGAGCAGGGTCAAGATATTAACTGATGTGCACGAATTTTCAGATATAGCTATATAATCTCTAGTTTAGTAAGAAAAGACCTTTGGAGCAGGCGTTTTTTAAAAAAAGTTTTTTATGAACCACCCTACTGCCCTACCCTCCGCTGGGCTTCCTGGATCCTGGAAAGTTGGCTTATGTGAAGAAAATGAGACTAGGCCGAGTAGATTAGGCCTTGCCTTGCCTTCGCCCCGCCCCCTGCAAGCAGCCGATTTTTCTTGATTTTACTGCTGTGTTGTTGTTTTTTTTGGTTTTTTCCCCTGGTAAACCACATTGCAGGTTTTTAAAAATAAATTTTATTAATTAAATAAACAATAAATATAAATATAATAACACAAGCCAAAACACAATCCATCCTGTAGATTTAAGTATCTGTCCATAGTCGCCTACTTGTTATCAGAGGCCCAGAATCCACATTCCTTTGGAAGAAAATATGAAATAGCGTAAAACCACTTTTGCAGGCAAAATAAAAATAAAAATTAGGGGGGGGGGGGCTGACAAGAAATTTTCTGCACCAGGTACCACCTGACCTTCCTACGCCTCTGATGACATTATGGAGTGAAAATAAAGTGTGTCTGAAGTTCTAATCAGCTTTGAACAAATGTGTTGAAAAAGAGCAATACAAAGCAATACAAAGCAGGAGAGCTTCAAACAGATGAATTTTCTTTCCTGGGATCTAAATTACTGCCTTGCAATTCATAGTTTGGAGCACTTTTGAGCCAGTCCGCAGGATGATGGCAGAAGGAACAGCATGAGGCATTTAAAACCAAATTTAACATCCTGAAGTCAAAAGGATATGATTGTGTGTATATAAGTCTTCCTCAGAGTAGACCCACTGAAATAAAAGAACCTAAATTATTTGTGTACACTAACTTCAGTGCTTCTGCTCATTGTCATAGCATTAGATATGGCTTGTATTTGTGCAATGACATTTGTCCTGTAAGACAAGACACAAATATTTTAATAAACAAACCAACAAAAATATAGATAAAGTGTATATCTGAGATTATTATAAAAATAGCAAACAGGCATACACCTGATTGAAAAACCACTCCAACTGGATTTACGCTGACAGCAACCCACATTTTTAAAATCTTTGGGAAGCCACAAACAATGTAGTCTTTGTGTTCATCATGGGTAGCCTGTTGGATTATTTAATTACAAACAGCCATATACTCCAAAGACTGCCTTTTAATCTCAGGAAATTAGAAGGGACATGAAAAAAAGGAAAGGAAAGAAAAGAGATTTGTAAGCAAACGTAAAATTTTGACTAATCATAAATAATAACACATATGGCCAGTTTCAAATGACGTGCTTAATCTTTTCATTCATATTGGGACACTTTTTTGTAACTTTAGAAGCTTGTTGGGTTTGTTTAGAGTAAAAAAAGGGAGGGGAAGCAACCTGAGATTTTGGATTTCTTATGTTGCTGTCCTTTTTCCTCCCAAGGTATATTTAATTTATTCCATGTGGATTTCTGTATGTTGGGCTGTTGTTGTTTTTAAATGTAGGCTGATGAGAAAACTGCTTAGTTGATTAATTATCTGCTTTTAACCGAGTCATCAGAAAATTAACTTTAAATATATTTGTATAATACCCAAACCTCCATTTAGATCCTTATTTGGAGTATGAAAGGATGCATAACTATTAATTACCATTTAATGAACAAAATCTATTGCACACAGTGTTAGAAAGGCCATCTTAAATGCTTTATTTTACAATAATGAACCAGAATCAAAGCAGCTTTGTCAGGGGGAGGTGGACAACTGTGTCCTCTACCACACTAATTAATCATCTGACATTTAAATTGACAAGTTTACTGGGGGAGAATCAGGCCCATTATTTTGTGTTAAAATGTTCACATTGGTGCTATATTCCCTGCATTTTCTCCACATTTATATTGGGTGAGTATCCTGTCTGTCACACACATGCGTCAATACATCTATCACACATATCTCATTCATTGTCTGCAGATTTCACGCATGCTTAAATATGGTTTTATGCACTGCTCATATATATATATAGGCGCTGCTACTCACCATGACGTTGTTACAGTGAGTTGTTGTCGTTGTTTAGTCATTTAGTTGTTTAGTCGTGTCCGACTCTTCGTGACCCCCACGGACCAGAGCACGCCAGGCACTCCTGTCTTCCACGGCCTCCCGCAGTTTGGTCAAACTCATGCTGGTAGCTTCGAGAACACTGTCCAACCATCTCATCCTCTGTTATCCCCTTCTCCTTGAGCCCTCAATCTTTCCCAACATCAGGGTCTTTTCCAGGGAGTCTTCTCTTCTCATGAGGTGGCCAAAGTATTGGAGCCTCAGCTTCACGATCTGTCCTTCCAGTGAGCACTCAGGGCTGATTTCCTTCAGAATGGATAGGTTTGATCTTCTTGCAGTCCATGGGGCTCTCAAGAGTCTCCTCCAGCACTATAATTCAAAAGCATCAATTCTTCAGCGATCAGCCTTCTTTATGGTCCAGTTCTCACTTCCATACATCACTACTGGGGAAACCATAGCTTTAACTATACGGACCTTTGTTGGCAAGGTGATGTCTCTGCTTTTTAGGATGCTGTCCAGGTTTGTCATCACTTTTCTCCCAAGAAGCAGGCATCTTTTAATTTCGTGGCTGCTGTCACCATCTGCAGTGATCATGGAGCCCAAGAAAGTAAAATCTCTCACTGTCTCCATTCCTTCCCCTTTTATCTGCCAGAAGGTGAGGGGCCCAGTGTCCATGATCTTTGTTTTTTTGATGTTGAGCTTCAGACCATATTTTGCGCTCTCCTCTTTCACCCTCATTAAATGGTTCTTTAATTCCTCCTCACTTTCTGCCATCAAGGTTGTGTCATCTGCATACCTGAGGTTGTTGATATTTCTTCCGGCAATCTTAATTCTGGCTTGGGATCCATCCAGCCCAGCCTTTCGCTGGATGGGTTACAGTGAGTGCCACACTTTAAACATTGGTGGTGGGTGTGTGTGTGCCAGCACTACGTACTGTATATTTGTATATTGTGGTTTTTTTTAAATGACAGGTGTAACCAATTAAGTATCATTGTGTCCCTGTCCTCCCTGCTGAGTTCTACAGGGGAAACACTGAAACAAAGGTGGAGGAAGATGGCAGCTGAAGCCACACACTGGACTGGCTGTAAGGAGGCAGGCAGGTGGGTTTCGGCTGAGGAGAAACTGAGGTTGGTGTGGCAGTGCCCCATTCAACCTAATGGGCCAGCCTCTGCTGCTTCTCCTCCCACTGTTATGTGTGGAACATGAAAAGGCTGAAAGCTCCCCTCAGCTTGGTAACCATATAACCGGACTATTAGCTAAAGTCAGTATTAGTCAACGGTTTTGAAGATGAAAACCCCCTCCTGAGTGTGAAGCAGTAACTTATTACTGTTTTATTTTATTAATGTCTTTTGGCTTTGGGTGTTTTATCACAAGCTCCATAACCTTTCGGTCCCTCAGGCAGTATTTCACCATTGCTGCTTTCAAAACGAGTCACTATTTATAATATACATACAGTATATTACAATCATTAATTTTTTTCAACGTTTTATGAGGTGTGCTTATTACATGAAATGGTGTGTCTGGCACTGGCAAATCTCTCGTGCATTCTCCCCCACCCCCACCCCATGTTTCCTTTCTCTTGGCAGGTCCGGCCAGAAGGAATAATTTTCTGTGGGCCACGCATGCTTTTCCATACCTTTTTTTTCCCCTTCAGGGGAGGGGCGGGATTTGTCACTTCTTCAGGAAGGCCTTATAATTCACAGAAACACAGATTTATGCCTCGGCCTTTCTTTTTCTTTTCTTTTTGCCAAGGCTTGTCAAACCCGAACATTTTTGTTGGCAACCTTTTGTGCCTTGCCCAGCTGAAAAGGGAGGCTCATCTTAGTCACAGAGCTTTCCCTTCGCCTTCTTTTCTCTTTTCCGGAGTGTCTGTTCTGGCGCATGCTGCTTCGTCTTCGTTATCAGGACTCCCTGCCACATTTCACGTCTTCCATCACCGAAACATTTTATTAAAAATATGCATTCATCCCCATCAGCTAATGTTCTGTATTTTGAAGGTTTCAGGGGCCCTCTCCAGCCTGAGATGGATGGCAAGCAGAGAGAAGGATCATGGTCATAGCTGTCAAGGTTTTCCTTTTTTTAAAGGGAAATTCCCTTATTCCGAATAGGATTCCTCGCAAGAAAAGGGAAGAGTTGACAGCTATGATCATGGTGTGAGGGAGTAAATGGTTACTTCAGCCTCAGAGCTTCTCCCCCCCCTTTTATTATTATTCGGTTTTACATATTTGAATTTACAATCATACCACAACACATCAAAAAGTACAAAATTCCCACAAATCTTTGGACTTCCCCCTCCCCCTCTGTGGGTCCCATTGTTGAGCCTTATCTACTGCATCTTTTATAATAATCCAATATTTTACATCTCCATTACCTCCATAGTTCTCATTGCATTACAAGTGTTATTGCAATCCCGCTAACGACTTCAACTGTTTACATTGGTCTCCAAGGTAAACTATAAATTTTCCCCATTCCTTATTAAAGTTTTGGTCTTCCTGGTTTCTGATCCTTCTGGTCATCTTTGCCGTTTTGGCATAGTCCCTCAACTTAATCTGCCATTCTTTTCTGGTAGGGACTTTGTTGTCTTCCCAACTCTGGGCTAACAACATCTGCGTGGCTGTCGTCGCACACATGAACAGTCTTTTCTGCTCCCTTGGGATTTCAGCACCAGAGCTTCTGGTCTCATCCCTGAAGGCCTTCACTGAGGTTCTTCCCAGCCCTTATATGTAAAGCAAGAGCCCTGCCCCTAGCTTAAAAATCAAGCTCCTTTGAGTCCTAGTTTCCTCCACTCCCAGTAATCTCTTGCAGAGTGGACACAGGCTCCAGGCCTGCGAGCTAGTTATTTACTTTTCTGTGCACAGGTATGACATCAGAGTCAGCATTGTCAGGTACCTCCTGTGGCCTGCACACCAAAACATCTCATTATCAGTCCCTGGAGTGTTGTAGCACCTCTTGACGAAGACCAACATCCCAGAGTCAGGATGTCACCAGCACTCCATGCATCAGCATTGGTGACCACACTCTTGAGGTGGTAGATGATTTTGTGTACCTAGGTTCCACCATAACAAGCAACCTCTCCATCAACGCTGAGCTGGACAAGTGTATTGGCAAGGCAGCTGTGGTAATGGCTTGCCTCTCCAAAAAGGTATGGGAGAATATTATACTAATGTCCAATACCAAGATGAAGGTCTACCAGTTGAACATGCTACTTTATGGAAGTGAGTTGTGGGCAGGAGGGATGCCTCGATGCCTTCCACATTCTTTGTGTCAGGAGGATTTTGGGCATCATATGATGGGACAGAATCTCAAACAAAGGTTTGCTCTCACAAGCCCACATTCCCAGTATGTTTGCAGTCCTATGTTCCGGTATTGTGATTTACATTTTTTCTTTATTATTTCCTCTCTTAATTGCATCTATGTGAAATCATCATCCGTTGAACAGTTATTTCAAGGAATTAAATGCTATTTAGTGCAGAGAGACTTGTGAGAGGCTGAGCAGATGAGAGCGAGAGAAATCAGCCAGTAACCTGTTTGACCCTTTGGTCAGTGCCAGCCCAGAAGGGCATGGTATTTTTAGAGGACCATGTGGCTCCAGTTGTTTTCTGCATTCTCAAGATTCTGACATTCTTTGTCATGAAGAACGAAAGTCTTGTGTGACTAGAGAGGAAGTGGGAAGTGATTCACTTTAAAGGATTTCATGGTTTGCTCCAGGAGAATGGCCAAGATACTGACCTGCTTTGGAAAGCAAACCCCAAGGCAAGAGGTGGTGATATTTTAATAGTTTTAACTGTCCTTCTCTCAGCTCTCGGGCTCCAGTGGAAATTGGCAGTGTCAAATATTTTGCTGTGGGAAATAAATGTCATCACTGTTCCTTTTTCCACACCAGATCTGGCATGCGCAAGCGGGGCCTTATGTCACGTGGTGCATGAGAACCCTCATTTTGCAAATGCCTCCATGGTTTCAGTTGTCTCTACACAAATGCACAGAGTATGGGAAACAAACAAGATGAACTTTTAATACAGGGTTGCAAATATGACCTGGTAGGCATTACTGAAACCTGGTGGGATGAAACTCATGACTGTAATGTAGCAATTGAGGGGTATAACCTGTTCAAAAGGAATAGACCAAACAAGAAGGGAGGAGGAGTAGCATTGTATATGAATGATATGTACACTTGTGAAGAAATCCACGACTTGGAGCATGAAAAGCAGATTGAGAGTATATGGGTAAAAATTGCAGAAGAGAGAAACAACAGTGACCTTACTGTGGGTGTCTGCTGTAGACCGCCAAGCCAGACTGAAGACTTTGATGATGCCTTACTAGAGCAGATTACTAAACATTCAAAATGGAGAGAAATAGTAATCATGGGGGACTTCCACTTCCCTGATATCTGTTGGGACTTAAACTCTGCCAAGAGTGTAAGGCCTGACAAACTCCTCCATTGTCTCGCTGACAATTTCATTTCCCAGAAGGTGGAAGAACCAACAAGGAGATCACCTGTCCTTACCAATAGGGAGGAACTGACTGGTAAGGTGAAAATGCTTGGAAACTTGGGAGGAAGTGATCATGTTCTCCTGGGATTCAGCATACAGGAAAAGGAACAGCTGAGGGTAGTTGGGCACGAGGTAACTGTTAGGTGGATTCGTAGCTGGTTGACTGACCAAACCCAAAGAGCATTCATTAATGGTTCCTCGTCATCCTGGAAAAAAGTGACAAGTGGGGTGCCACAGGGTTCTGTCCTGGACCTGTTGTTGTTCAACGTCTTTATAAATTACTTTGATTAAGGAATTAAATTTGCAAATGACACCAAACTCTCTCTCTCTCTGTTGCAGAAGACAGAATCAGAATTCAAAATGACCTTAACAGATTGTAGAACTGGGCACAAGCTAACAAAATGAATTTCAATAGGGACAAATGTAAGGTTCTGCACTTAGGCAGGAAGAAGCAGATGCACAAAAATAGGATGGGGGACATCTGGCTTACTAACAGTACATGTGAAAAAGGTCTAGGGGTCCTGGTGGACCCTGAACATGAGTGGAGTTCAAAACATGACAAGTATCTTGTCTGCTTATTGTACTTTTTAATTATGCCTATCCAATATTGAGGTGCTTTTCCCATGGCGCACTTACTTGACTACGTGCTGACAAGTATTTGGATTCTGAGTCATGCGATCAGAAGAAGAGCCCTGTTGGTTCATGCCAACAGTTCATATAATCACTTTCCAACAATGACCAGTTAGATGTCTCCAGGACATTCATGAGCAGGCTATTGGTGCTAAGTCATCTAGGGCTTAGGCTTTCTACTCCAACCGGCAGTAGCCCTCCAGGACATCAGGCAGAGGACCTGGTCTTCCTTATCCTACCTACCACCAAGGCAAGCTGTTTTAACAGTTGTTTTCACTCTTCCTGCCAAGGCAAAGATTGTCTCTATACTTTAGTCCAACACAAGCAACAAGTGGAGATGGATAGACAGTTTTAGTGGTGTTGTAAATTTGCTATCAGAGCTCATTTTATTGTTTCCAATGGTGGAAGCCAAAGTGCTGAGGCTGACCATGTTTTATTACCTCTCCTCCCACCCCTGCTATCCCACCTTATTCTTGGTATGGAATAAATGTATCTATAATCTCTAAATACTGTTGAGTGGTTTCTTTCCATTTCTGTTGAGAGTGCTCCAAGCCATTCTATATCAAGCCCATGGCCATCATCCAAAGCTTCATGGGGATCCAGAATGTGCATAGAACTCAATATATATGGAGAGAAAACTCAATATATTATTGTATTATGTTTCTATTATTATTTAGTTTTGATAATAATAATACCTTCTCGGTAGTGGTGCCCACCCTGTGGAATGCCCTCCCATCAGATGTTAAGGAGATGAGTAATTATATAACATTTAAGAAACATCTGAAGGCTGTTGGGAAGTTTTTAAATGTTTAATGTTTTACTATGTTTTTATATATGCTGGAAGCTGCCTAGAGTGGCTGGCGAAACCCAGTTAGATGGGCGGGGTACAAAGAAGAAGAAGAAGAAGAAGAAGAAGAAGAAGAAGAAGAAGAAGAAGAAGAAGAAGAAGAAGTTGTTTTATTAAATAAAACAAATAATAATAGTAATTTTATAATTTATAAATTTGTAATTTATTATTATAAATATTGTTTATTTATTTCATTTTTATTGTGTGTTGTTGTTGTTGTTGTTAAATGCTGGGATCTTTTGATAAAAGGTAAAGCAAGCAAGCGGGGACGCGGGTGGTGCTGTGGGTTAAAGCCTCAGTGCCTAAGACTTGCCGATCAAAAGGTCGGCGGTTCGAATCCCTGCGGCGGGGTGCGCTCCTGTTGCTCGGTCCCAGCGCCTGCCAACCTAGCAGTTCGAAAGCACCCCCGGGTGCAAGTAGATAAATAGGGACCGCTTACCAGCGGGAAGGCAAACGGCATTCCGTGTGCTGCGCTGGCTCGCCAGATGCAGCTTGTCACGCTGGCCACGTGACCCGGAAGTGTCTGCGGACAGCGCTGGCCCCCGGCCTATAGAGTGAGATGGGCGCACAACCCTAGAGTCTGGCAAGACTGGCCCGTACGGGCAGGGGTACCTTTACCTTTACCTTTTTAAAGCAAGCAAGCAAGCACCTGGCCTTTTCTCTTCATTACATGCATTTACAGGATTTGACAGATTCATGAATGAGAGACGTCTCATTGACTCTCTGGAGGATCAGTGTCCATAGGAAGCTGCCTAATATCAGTCAGCCCATCTGTCTACCTATCCCGGAATTGTCTAACTGGGAGTTAGACAATTGTCTTACTCTCCTGCATCTCAGACAGAAGTGTTTCCCATCACCTGCAGAAGTGCCAAGGATTGAAACTGGGATGATTTGTCTGCAACACGTCTGCTCTGAACTCAGCTATGAATCCCTCCCCATGCTTGGAGACAGAATGGATGCAAACATATCTAAAATCAGACTTAAAGAATCAATTCCAGTACAGACCGGGAAAGATCTTTACTGAAAAGGCTTGTTGGAAGAAGTTTTTCAATAGGTGCTGGGAAGGCAGCAGAGACAGCGCCTGTCAAATATTTAGAAGAAGAAGAAGAGTTTGGATTTGATATCCCGCCTTTCATTCCCCTTCAGGTGTCTCAAAGCGGCTAACATTCTCCTTTCCCTTCCTCCCCCACAACAAACACTCTGTGAGGTGAGTGAGGCTGAGAGACTTCAGAGAAGTGTGACTAGCCAAGGTCACCCAGCAGCTGCATGTGGAGGAGCGGAGACGCGAACCCGGTTCACCAGATTACGAGTCCACCACTCTTAACCACTACACCACACTGGCTCTTTAATGAGAGAGAATTGCAAAGGGTAGGTGCCATGACAGAAGCCTGGTTCCTGTTTTGTGTGGAATGGACCTCCGAATAAGATGGCATCTAGTAAGATATATCCACTTGGGAGAAAGCCATTTAACTCAGTGAGATTTAAACATGCATTTAAACAAGCAAGATTTTGATTTCACTTCTATTTCAGCAATCAGATTGATTTGACTTGGCCCACTTTCAGGAATACTCACTTCACTTTGGATTAAAATCAGAAAACAGCTTCTAAAACTCCAGTGATTTATGTCTCCCCCATTGATTGTAATGGAAAAATCAGCCAAGAGCTATAGTTGTTTTCTGTTCTTTGGCATGATTGGATGAAATTTGCAGGCATAGTTGCCTCTTCTGAGTAGATGAATTCTGGAAAATTACAGCAGCTTGCCTCTGTTTTGTTATTTATTTGATGCACACCTAATGCTGCAATATTTATGAATCATTTCCCATGAGGCATCCCAAAGAGATTTACAAAATAATAATATATATAAAACAGTTACAAATAAAAAAATATAAACAGTTAAAACAACTGCATATATAAAAACAATAATGACTATGAAAACAGCTCAAAACAACAACGCATATATAAATTCAATTAATTTTTTTACAATAAATTTTATGAAATTATACATCTCAAAATAAACATTTTACATACTGTTACATATCCAGCGACTTCCCTCCTTCTCCTTCCATGGTTCATTCTGTTTATCTTTCATTCCTGCATATTTGACTATAACCATATAAATTCAATTCAAATCCAAGACAGATACTGACTGGGAAAATATTTATTTGTTGAAAGAGGAATGTATCTGTGCCACTGAATAACAGTTGCTGTGGAACAACAGTGGGGGGGGGGAGTTTATGATTTATTTGTGAGTTTCCTGAAGGCATCTGACCAAAGATGCTGGGCTGGACGGATCTTTCGTCTGGTCCAGCAAAACCACTGAGCCTCTTGGGCTTGCCAATCGGAAGGTCGGTGGTTTGAATCCCTGCGACCGGGTGAGCTCCCATTGCTCAGTCCCAGCTCCTGCCAACCTAGCAGTTTGAAAGCACACCAGTGCAAGTAGATAAATAGGTACCACTGCGACGGGAAGGTAAATGGCGTTTCCATGTGCTGCTCTGGTTTCTGTCACGGTGTTCCGTTGTGCCAGAAGCGGTTAAGTCATGCTGGCCACATGACCTGGAAAGCTGTCTGTGGACAAATGCCAGTTCCCTAGGCCTGAAAGCGAGATGAGTGCCGCAACCCCATATCCGCCTTTGACTGGATTTAACTGTCCAGGGGTCCTTTTATCTCCACAGTATACACAGAAGTTTGCCTGACAGTGCAAAGAACAGAACACCCCCTGTCAAGCCAAGCTCCCTGTTTACACCTGAACTAGCAACTGCACACAGACCCCACTGAATCATGGTGGAATCTACAAGCAAGTTTGTGATGGCTAATCTTTCCCTGCCCAGAGAATTGCCATCATCGCAATACAATTATGGCAAGCAGGGGGTGAAAAAGCAAGAAATGGACTACATTTCTGTGTGTGCCTTAAAAAGAAAAAAGGGGGGGAAAGTAAGGTGTGAGAAGAGAAAATTTCTGGGACATTGATTTTCAAGTTCGTATTTGAGCCAGAAACATGAAGTGCTAACATAACCCATATGTCACAAAATAAGATCCTCCAAAAAGACTAGACATTTTGAAGAGAGTTCATTTCCCCTGCTCTGTTGTATTACTTGAAATATTTCATTGCTAACTCCAATCCATAGTTCTTAATTCCTGAGCACACACATTGGCTGTGATTAAGGTGAAACTTAAGTCAATTAGTGGAATGATTTCTTCCACAGAAAAGCTGAGTTTTAGATGCTTTTTGCCAGTTTTTCTACTTGGTAACATTTGTCACTTTTTTCTTCCTTTCGTTTGAAAGTATACAATAGTTTCCTTCTCTTTCCATTTCTTTTTTACACGCTTCCCTTCCTCTTTTTCGGTTAAAATACTGTACACTCTGTAATTCAAGTCTTCTGCTTCCTTTATTAGGAAAACAGTAATACCCAAATGCTGGTGGAAAGAAAAAAAGAAAAAATATGAGAGATCCAACAGGAAACAAAAACCACAAGCAGAAAGGGGTTAGTACAGGTTACTGAAATAGTTGAGTCCTCTCTTGGGCTCCACAGAAAGTAACAGAACTTTACAATATCTTGAAAATCTGTTTCACAACCATTCTTATTTTTCACTAGATATTCATATCGTAGCAAAGGGGTGGCAGGGGGGAACTTGGTTATAGTTTTCTGGTGTTGTTTTTTCTACACTTAGTATTTGTTATTTTTAAAAAACTGTACGTGCTGCTAACAAGTCTTCTAAGAATATCAAACTCCAGGTGTTTATTTTGGGCATTCCAAAGCTTAACAAGAACTGCATTTGAATGCTAGGCTCCCCCCTGTGTTACAATCCTCTCGGTGACTTAAAACACATTTTCGTCACATGATGACTTGGCTTAGAATAAGCATCAATCTAAACATGACTGACGAATGACTTGGTGATTTAATTGAAAGATTACGCCCCCCCCCCCAAAAAATTGCTGCTTTAAAGTTATCTGAAACCATGCATCAGGTCCTTTGCAGATTCCAGAAATTTGAAATGAAAGCAGGACCGGCAACAAGATACTGTAATGCGGAGTGTTTCTGGTTAGGATTCCATCCACTCCATTTTATTCCCTGTCTACACTTTTCAGTATCTCTCCGAAATAATCAGTCACCATGGGCACTGAGCATGCTCAAAACTCACTCAAGTTTTTTTGCTTTTCTCTATTTTTTGTGCTTCTGCAAACTTCAAGCAGCCCTCAGGAGTGATGCCTCAATGCCTCTGGCAAGTATACCTGAAGGAGTGTCTCCACCTCCATCGTTCTGCCCGGACGCTGAGGTCCAGCGCCGAGGGCCTTCTGGTGGCTCCCTCACTGCAAGAATGAGGTTGCAAGGAACCAGGCAGAGGGCCTTCTTGGTAGTGGTGCCCTCCCACCAGATGTCACAGAGATAAACAACTACCTGACATTTAGAAGACATCTGAAGGCAGCCCTGTTCAGGGAAGTTTTTAATGACTGATGTTTTAATGTATTTTTAATCCCTGTTGGAAGCTGCCCAGAGTGGCTGGAGAAACCCAGCCAGATGGGCGAGGTACAAATAATATATTATTATTATTATTATTATTATTATTATTATTATTATTATTATTATTATCATCATCATCATCATCATCATCAATAGAAAAGCTATTTATGTTGCCTGAATAGAAGGAGAGAGCCTGTGAAGCAAATGCTTGAAACAGAACCACATAAGGGAAATTGTCCTTCTATTTCTGATGTTCAGGCTGTGAGTGCCATTGCATTTATAGTCAAAATGGCAGGACCCAAGCATAAGTTGGTTGATTGGTTGGGATCCATCTGTCTTGGGAGACAGTGGAGGAATGTGCCTTTGGGGATGGAGTCAAATTGATGGAAGGTTACAGTGCCTGCTGTGGCTGTAGAGACCAATACAGGAGAGATATGTTTTGTTACAGCTGGGGCAGATGTGGGTGTCTGGCTGTGCTGCTGCAGATGCACCATGGCGTTTCTTCTCTCTGCTCTCCTCCCAGCAGTCATTCTTCCTCTGGTCACTGCTGTGGATACACGACTTGACCGCCTGTCTCTAGGCACTGCAGTCATTTGCAAGGGATTCCCGCATGGTGGGGTTGATGTTGCAGGCCTGTTTATAATGCAGAGTTGATCTGTCAATTGGCCTAGTGCCTGAAGCTAGCTCACAGCAGAACAGGTCCTGCCATCTTCCATTCTGTGGACATAACCAAGCCAGTGTAGACATCGCCGAGAAAGGATAGCAAACATACTGGGAATGTGGTCTTGGGAGAGCACATCTTTGTTTGAGATGCTGTCCTGTGAGGTGGTGCTCAAAATCTTCCTAACACAGCGCATGTGGAATACTACTACTACTACTACTAATATAATTTATTTATACGCTCCTTCAGGTATACTGGGCCAAGGCCATTTAGGACTTTAAAGGTCAACACCAACACTTTGAATTGTGCTCGGAAACGTACTGGGAGCCAATGTAGGTCTTTCAAGATTGGTGTTATGTGGTCTGGGCAGCCACTCCCAGTCACCAGTCTGGCTGCCGCATTCTGGATTGGTTGTAGTTTCCGGGTCACATTCAAAGGTAGCCCCACGTAGAGTGTGTTGCAGTAGTCCAAGCAGGAGATAACTAGAGCATGCACCATGATCAAGCAAATCAGCTGTATTATTGGCTTCTTGTTGTTCTTGTTTTTATCATGTATTTTGTGCTTTTTATCATGGATTTTTATGTTGTGAACCACCCTGAGATCTACAATTGAAGGGTGGTATACATGTTTAATTAATTAACTAACTAACAACAACAACAACAGCAATAATAAATTACCCAAACAATGAAAGGAACAATTACTCCTTATCTCAGTTAGCAGAGCAAGTGTTTTGCATCTCTAGCTTAAAGTATCGTATGACTGGCCAGGATCTTGAATAGCCCCTGGCAGTAAAATTACACAATGTTGGAAGCAGAATTTGACCTCCCATCACCAGCACCTCTGTGGCTTACCAGGAGGGAGGCGTACATTCACAACAACTCTGTGAGGAAGGCAAGCATTTTACACACGTCAAATTGATGCCCAAATCAACACATGTTCATGGCTGAGCGATGATTTCAAACCAGTTCACCCTCAGAACACGAAAAACAAACGCCACTGATTCTTGCTGTATGCTAGTTTAGTACTCAACTAATTCAATCATCTCTTGAAAACTCTGGAAACTCAGGTATATGAGCAAAACTCCCTACCTGTGTAGGCTTCTTCATTCACGTCAATCGAAGGAGATGCTCCATGCATTCAAACAATTTGTTCCTGGGGCTGCTCTATGGTTGCCAATTTCAGAACTATCCCCTTCAGGTGTGCGTCCAGAGAATGGTCCACATTATCTGGACTGCATCCATGGGGTTCACAGCACACCTGCCCAAAACAGATTCCTTGGGTAGGATGATGGTCTAGTTCAGGCATCTTCAACCTTTTCAGACCCTGGGCTCACTTTTCACCCAAATATGCACCTGGAGATCCATTTATTAATATTTTGCCACATATTTGCATGAAGGCAGTGCTCCTGTTGTGACCCACATTGAACCAGGCTATATGACGCACTAGGGAGTCTTGACCCTAGGGAGTCTAGCAGGGCTACAAACAGAACTTTGGAACATTTTAAATTGTTTCTCATTTTTGTGGTTCTTCTGTATTACATACATCAGGTTGATCCATTCTGGTAAAAAGAGGATGTGTTTCTCATGTTAAGTTATGTGAGACTTGTTAAACGAATTACTCAATTTTTGGCTAAGTGAAGTGGGTGAAGAAGCCACAAATGAAACCTTGATTCTGGGTCCCACCCCACCCCCGCCTCCTCTTCATTATTATTTCTAGCATGTTTTCCAGTATTAAACTTGTCGTTTTCAGTCTTCGTGCTGATTCAGCACCAGCTCCTGTTCCTGAATTACTAAAACAACTTTCCTCTCCAACTAACAGGGGACCCATGATTCACTAGGTAAAGAAAATGGAGAAACAGAAAGGGACTTTTTTTCCATCTCCTAATATTAAAAAATAAACTGGTAAGAGTTCATAAAACACTCCTGTTAAATGTCTGGGATATTGGGGGGGGGGTGTCTGTGTGAGGGAGAAGCTGCAGTAAAATCTCACGTTTCACAGATGGATTACTCAGGACGATGCTAATTCGGCTTGTGCCTTGAATATGCATCTTTGCCTTGGCCCAGAAAGGGCGATTTCTATGGGAAAAGAGAGTTCTCTGTGAGAAAGACCCTTCTCAGTGTTGTCTTTTGTGTCCACAGTATGCTGTACATCTTCAAAGTGTGCCATCCCCTGTCCTGTCTCTGTTCCCCTGCTGCCACTCACCCCTATTACTACTAAGGGCTCTTTTTCTAGAAAAAGAGGTGCCACAACTCACCTTAAACCTTGTTCTCTTATAATGGCAATGGTGCCCACCTGAGAGGTGCCGCAACTGAGTTGCAACTGTAAAAAAAAAGCCCAGAATACATTAACCATATTTTTCCGTGTATAACATGCCCCCATGTATTTTGGGGACCCCAAATTAAGAAAATGGGATTGTCCAGAGTTGCTGAGCTTTTTGGGGTGGGGTGGCCCAGACTTGTTGAGGGGGGGATTGGTGAAAATTGCATGCATCGCAAAAGCTGCCAATCGCCCGCCCAATTTCCTCAATGGCAGCCAATCGACACCAGCCCTTGCCACAGCCACCAATAACACGCACAATAAAGGTAAAGGGACCCCTGACCATTAGGTCCATTCGTGGCCGACTCTGGGTTTGCGGCGCTCATCTCGCTTTACTGGCCGGGTCATGTGGCCAGCATGACTAAGCCGCTTCTGGCAAACCAAAGCAGCGCACGGAAACGCCGTTTACCTTCCCACCAGAGCGGTAACTTGCACTTTGACGTGCTTTCGAACTGCTAGGTTGGCAGGAGCAGGGACCGAGTAACGGGAGTTCACCCCGTCGCAGGGATTCAAACCGCCGACCTTCTGATTGGAAAGTCCTAGGCTCTGTGGTTTAACCCACAGCACCACCCGTGTCCCTTAAGGTGCACAATAGCTGCTGACAATCTCCAACTTGCAGCAACAACCAATCCCACATCCCACAAATGTACTCTCCGTGTATAAGACGGTCCAAATTTTAAACATAATTTTTTTAATTAAGAAAAAAACTAAGTTAGGCTAAGAGGTGGTGACTGAGTCAAGGTCACCACAGTGAGCTTCATGTCCGAGTGGGGATTTGAACCCTGGTTTCCCAGGTCCTAGTCTGGCAGTCTAACCATTACACTACACAACACGACACAGATTCAGCCATCCAAGAGCAGGATCTTTGAAGTGGAGGAAAATGATCTTCATCTGCCTGATGGGGGTGCTTTATGACCATCCCCAAAAGCAATGATAACCCTAGGTGATACAATCCATTTTGGCTTTTGGGGTACCACTTGAAAATACTCCCTAGCTTTGCTAAAGTTATGACTGAAGGCTGAATCTCGCTAAGTAACTTCATGAACATGAGAACTTCCATCCACACAACAGACATTGTTCCCCTCCCTTTCCTCCCCCTCATGCCCTCACCCATGAAATATGCTCAGGAAGGGGGGGGTGTCACCCAGTCCTCTGGAGCAGATTTTGCCAACAAAGGTCCATCTAGTTAAAGCTATGGTTTTCCCAGTAGTGATTTATGGAAGTGAGAGCTGGACCATAAAGAAGGCTGATCGCTGAAGAATGGATGCTTTTGAATTATGGTGCTGGAGGAGACTCTGGAGAGTCCCATGGACTGCAAGAAGATCAAACCTATCCATTCTTAAGGAAATCAGCCCTGATTGCTCACTGGAAGGACAGATCCTGAAGCTGAGGCTCCAATACTTTGGGCACCTCATGAGAAGAGAAGACTCCCTGGAAAAGACCCTGATGTTGGGAAAGATGGAGGGCACAAGGAGAAGGGGACGCCAGAGGACGAGATGGTTGGACAGTGTTCATGAAGCTACGAGCATGAGTTTGACCAAACTGCGGGAGGTAGTGGAGGACAGGAGTGCCTGGCGTGCTCTGGTCCATGCGGTCACGAAGAGTCGGACACAACTAAATAACTAAACAACAACAACAACAACAACAACAAGAAGTTTTCCCATCACAGGGCTGGAATAGTACAAATTACGATCCCCAGGAAATCCTATGGGGGAAGTCATGTTTTTTTAATGTGCATTTTAAAAAGGGGGATATATTTTTTTAAAAGCCACCAATTTAAATAAATAATTCCACAGCTCTCTTGATGCAACATTAGGCATTGAACTAAATATATGTGTTGTAGTTTGTTATTGTCGTCATGC